GCAAATAAAAAAATGTTTCAAACAAAAGTTGTTCAAATTAATTCAAGGAGAAAAGAATGATATAATAAAAAATAAAGGTTTCCATTTAAAAAATTTAACTTGAGCTCTACTGGGCCCAACACGGGCCCTAGACCCAAAATCTAATTAGATCGTCTATTGACTCTCTTTGAGTCCAATTTTTATCTAAAATATTTTATTTTTCCAATAAATCAATATTTTCTGAGATAATTGATCGTTCCGGAACTTTTATTACGCACAGTATAAAATATATATAAACTTTATTATAATATATATCAAATGTGATAGGCAATTGACTTTAGATAGATTTCATTCAGTATTAATTGAAGATACCACCAAAGTGAAATTAAAAAGGTGTGAAATGTTCAAAGAAACTTGAAAAAACTGGATATATTTTATATCCTTAATACCTACGCACATTATATAAAATATAAATATTATAACTAAATCAATCGCGGACATACCTATCTTTATAAATTACAGAATATACGAGAATATACAAGCACATCTGAGAGAAAAAGATAGTGAGAGAAAGAAATAGAGAAACATAAAATTTGTTGATAAATAATTAAACGTGAAAACATCAGCAAGTTTTTATAAAAAAATCATTTTTACAATGAAATTTTGATATACAATCGTTTCTATGCAAATCAATACAATTTGAATTTTACTTTCTTATCTAAACATTAGCGTTGTCATTTGATAGTGAAAAAGATTCTTATTAAATAACATAATAAAACTTTTATTTATGGATTTATGCAATTTTTCTTCTGTCCAATTTTTAAATAAATAATCGAATTCTCTGTTTTGCATGAGAAACATATACTACATCGTTTATAGTGCTATAAATATTTTAAAATTATTAAGAAATAATGATCATGATTAAAAACAATATCATTCTATATGTAATCTATTATTATTACAGAAATGTAATTAAAATAAATATTAATCTTTTATTTACTGGCTTCAAAGTGCATATTTTTTTATTATTCCCACTTGAGCATTTTTATTATAAACTAAAATCTTAAATCATTATTATTATAGATAAACTATTATATTAACTTAAGAACAATATAAGACAAGCTCACTTCTTAGAAAACTACAATTTCTCTTCCTGCTTCCTCATCTTCGCCATTTACATCATCATCATCTTTCTTCTGTTGCTTTTTCTTCGACGTCGCATCCTTCTTTTCCTTCTGAATCTTTTTAAAGTTTTCTAGAGATTCTTGTAGTGGATCGACAAACTGATCAAACTCGATGTCTATCATTGCTTGTATCACGTCTGGTCCACTGATCGTTTTACGGTTGCCTTTCTTAGCTACTATATTGGCAGACGACGTAAGATAGAGTATGAAGATGGACGCAGCCTTTGCTACTGCAGTTCTGGCGTCTTTTCCAACTGTTACCCCATCCGGTAGAGCTTCCTTGATGATTCTGGTCACAACTGCATTGGGCAGGTTCAGATCTTCTAATCGCTCAGCCATCTAATTAGCGTTTGTTTTTTTCAATTCTTATAAATGGAACAATATAAGATATTGTAATTCTATGATTCTTATATTATAACGTAATGCTCAAACTCATTATAAAGATTACTAAAATATAATTAATGTGTATGATAGCACTTATAATGTATACATAACTTTCATAAATAATGTAAGACTTATTAAAATTATCTTTAGCAAGTAGTTCGTTGCAGCGCACAAGTTACACAATAACGCACAAAAAATATAAGGAAGAGATAACAAAAATAATAAGGGAAATTGTTATTACCTTACTCTGAAAACGTGTTGGAGCTTATCCGACTTATCTATCAAAATCGACAACGCGGTGAGGTTAGGTCTTTCCCGCCAGCAAGTTTGTGACAATTAACAGTCTGCACAAGAAATAAACTTCCTCGTCGTTTTTAAACGTGATAGGAATCAATAGTGAATTGAAATCTCGTAGCAAACATCCGAAAATTCACGAATGTATCGGTAAATCAGAATAATTACATTTTTACCGATAACCGAATGCAACTGAACGTTCGAAATTCAAACAAAAACCACGACGCGGCCCATGGGAACTAAGATGGCATAAACCTTTGACTAGGGTCGGTATTCATAAGGTGCGTTCGGTTTGGACGCTCACAGCTAATAGCGTTTTTTCTTGGCTGCACTACCGCCCTGCACTGCCCTGCACTACCCAATAGCGTTGCACTAGTGTTGCACTAGTGTTGCACTAGTAGGCGATAGTGCAGCCAAGAAAAAACTATAAGGTGATTCTAAAGCCGTGATCCTAGCCGGTTTTTTTCAGTTTTTTTCTTAGCACTAATCTTCTAATTGGCTTTATAGAAATGCAAAATTCTTGTCTAGAATTAAAGTACGCATCCAAATCTAGGTCATGGTGGTCGAATTTATATGTGGTGGTCGTCACGTATAACAAAAAATATTAATTTTTTTTTGTTTTCGATATAAATTCGACCACCATGACCTAGATTTTGATGCGCACTTTAATTCTAGACAAGAATTTTGCATTTCTATAAATCCAATTAAAAGATTAGTGCTAAAAAAAAAACTGAAAAAACCGGCTAGGATCACGGCTTTAAGATCCCCTTAAGGTGATCCTAAAGCC